TACTTTGGATGTATGCATATATCAGAGCATGTATATTTGAATATTTGCATACTTTGTATGAGTTTTAAGGTAAAGAAATGCATCTGATTATTGTGATATTATTTAGTATAACGAGATTAGGAATATGTATTGATGTGATGGAATTTATTGATGTATTTATAAGAAGTAATTGATACCGTGCTGTATTATGATGCTTGTTTAACCATTCAAGAACATATGGGTATCTTGATGTGAATGAATGCATGACCAAAGAAATTTAATACCCATTATCTGATAACAGGTCATGTGTAGTGTGAGATAAAAGGGCTGTGTAGTGTGAGATAAAAGGGCTAATCGAAAAAAGATTGTACCATCCTTGTGTTTTCACAGGAAGCTTTTTAGGGGACAGAGAACTTTTGGTTTCATTAGGTCTCAAGTCTTCAAGAGCTGGAGACAGAATTGAGACTGTAGCCGAGACAGTCGAAGTTGACAAAAGTGAGGTTGTGGGGGAGAAAGTGGAGAAGGAGTCTAGAGAAAGTCAAGGAGGAGGAGAAGGAATTTGGAAAAAGGTTGAGGAGGAAGAATAGAAGGAAATTTGGGAGAAATAAGAGAGAGAAAGGATACAACAGATGAGTAGAAATACAAGGACAGGCAAAAATCAATATCACACAGCTAATCAAGTGATGCAATGGACTTAATAAATAGCAGATAGGAGTATAATTTGAAATTTGAGTCATTTGGTTAACTGAATTGTTATTAAATTGTTATTCATGGAATTTCAACCTTTTTTGTATATTTAACTATCTAACCGTCGGCATTACTGACTGGGAGCTCTGAGCTTTACATCCATTTTTCACTAAATTTAACTTCCAACAAAATAGAGTGTGGGTGGGACTTCTATAATAGTTTAAATAAAATATTGGGAGCACAACACCCCAACCATAATAGTTCATCACATATAATAATGATTTACTGAGAACATCAAAGTATTTCATGAAAACTGGATGGTGGATGTTGAAGTTATGGAGATTTGAAACCACATTTTATATCAAATAATTCAAATAGGTGACCCACCAATCTTTTGACTAACAAAGATCATGGAAAATAAATGCAATCAGGTAAGTATTTACAAGTAGCTGTTCACTAGACCTATCAGTGGGCAACTCAAATTTTTCACATATTTTTTTATATTATATGAGGTGCATTTGTCTTTTTTCTTTGCTTGTTTCTACACAGTTTAAAGAAAAGACTGTACAATATGGGAAGCTGGTTTGAATTACACTATTTTTAATGTACTCATGCCATCATCTTCACAAGCCAAGGGAGATCAATCCACTTTATTCCACATCAACCTATGGCATAAGAAGTCATCCAAAGCAGTATTTTTAACAGGTGCCCTCCTGTGGAAGAAAGAGTTACTGTCTTTGGCAATCTTAAGAAAGTGACCAATGAAAGAGAACTTATTACACATATTAAATGTTCAGTATAATAGCTTCTGTCATTCCATACTCCTTGACTTGAAAGACAAAAAAATGCCACAATACCATAAGTTCCAATTATCTTACTAGATCAGACTATTTCAGTTGTATCCAACAAAATAGCATATAATTGTTTTGGCAAGCTGAACATATCAAAGGTTCAATGTGGAATGATGTGGACTGGCCAAGAATGGGCTTGGGAAGATGACTGCATATACTAAGGAATGGGGTGGACCACTAAGGATGGGTATGGGAAAATAACTGCATATACTAAGGAATGAGGTGCACTGACATGCATTGAAATATGACTGCATCTACCTAAGAATGGAGTGGACTGATGAGCATGGGCATAGAAAGATGATTGCATATACTAAGAAATGAGGTGGGCTGAGGAGCATTAGCATGGGAAGATGACTGTATATACAAACTAAGGAATGAGGTAGACAGAGGAATATGGACACAGGAAGAGGATTGCATATACTAAGGAATGAGGTGGGCTGAGGAGCATCAGCATGGGAAGATGACTGTATATACAAACTAAGGAATGAGGTAGACAGAGGAATATGGGCACAGGAAGAGGATTGCATATACTAAGGAATGAGGAGGCTACTGTCATAGAAAAATGATTGCATATACTAAGGAATCAGGTGGGCTGGGAGCATGGGCAAGGGATGATCACTGCATATCATATACCAATAAATAAGGTGGACTGAGGAGTATGGGCATGGGAATATGGGAAGATGACAGTATATACAAAATAAGGAATGAGGTAGCCAGGAATATGGGCACAGGAAGATGATTGCATATACTAAGGAATGAGGTGGAATGAGAAGGCTATTGGCATAGGAAGATGATTGCATATACTAAGGAATGAGGTGGACTGTTGTACATGGGCAAGGGATAATCAATGCATATACCAAGGAATAAGATGAATGAGGAGTATTGGCTTGGGAATATGACTGCATTAACTAAAAAAATATCTTGCCAAATGTGCAACTGTAATAAAGAAAACATCATACACTTTCTCCTATCTGTGGTAGCATAAATATTCCATAATTCACAAAAATATAATTTTGTGTTCAATTTTTCTCTCTCTCTCTCTTACAATGTTTGTACAGTCCATGAGAGACATTATGCTCAGCGAAAACAATGTTACATTTATGTACCCAAATGAAGTCACAAATGTCAAAATGTTTAGTCTTGATATGATAGGAAATGTTGACCCAAGATGTGATTTGAATTTGTACAGATTTAAGTACATGTACATTGAATACAGTCTTAAGTGCACATGAATACATTTTTAAGTCTATTGTGTACAGTTTCAAGTATATATACATACAGTTTTAAGTATATGTGCATATGGTTTTATGTACATGATATGCATATGGTTGTAAGTATATATGCATACTGTTTATATATATATATATATATATATATATATATATATATATATATATATATATATAGATAATATACCTATAGATTTAGGTACACAACAGTGTAATATCTTAAGTACATGTGCATATATGTTTATGCAAACACTACAAAGTTTACACCCATTTCTAATTAGGACATAATTTTTTTTAAAATCAAGAGATGCAAATGTTTTTGGACATTAGACAATTGCTTCATAACATTAAAACCTCCTCTATAACTATTTAGTTTTAGATTTAGTGACATTAAAACCATGTTTAAAATTTAATTACAAATATCTGTAACAGTCTGGATAAAAAAGAAGGCAATCAGTATTATTTTCATCTGAGATCTTGCTTGATGTGATTGTCACAAAACAAAACTAGGAATGCGTATCCTTCTATAGCAATGTGCATATTGATAATGGATGCACATCACTGAATGAAGATTTCTAATACTTTTTTAATTTCAAGGTTACAAATCTGGGTCTCTTGGGCATTGCAGTGCCCATCATTTCATAATAATCATTAAATCCACACTGCGTAGATCATGCATTGTTAATAAATGCATTATTGTGTTTGACATTACCCTCTGAGAAAAAGCAGTGAATTACGATTGCATTATTTATTTTACAATTTTCCTCTGAATTGAAACATTTTGATATATGCTTTATTTTTCTGGCATGCGGAGAATATCAACTGATTACTCCCCATCAAGTGACTAATTATTTCACAAACAAGTAACAAAGTAACCTAATGATGTTGCATGAATTGACGATGACAATAAGATTTACGCTTCATTAATGTTGGTCTAATGAAACTAAAATGACAATAAACGTCCAAGTTTACAGCTGGTGCCATTTTTTTAATTCAGATAAAAAGATGGAAAACATAATAAACACAATTTTTGTCTCCCATTTTTATGAAAAGCTAACAAACACAACAACCTGAAATTCACAATGCTAAGAGGTTGTGAAATATTGGTAATAAGAATGGAAAAAAAACTTAGACCTGTGTTTGTACAACAAGTATTGATCCCTCACACTTAATGAAAGCCAAAGTCAAAATAGTTAACAAAAGATAATAAATGGGTAACCTCACCAAAATGAATTATCTGGTCATCTATATATGCACACAAAAATAGCCCCCAAATTTCTTTTCTCTTCATTGAGTGGATTCTGCTAAATGATAAAAAAGGCTAGGTAATTTTTTTTTTAATGTGTAAAATAAGGAAAAAACTTCTCTGATGAGCTTAAAATCTAACCATTCATTCATTCATTCATTCATTCATTCATTCATTCATTCATTCATTCATTCATCCATCCATCCATCCATCCATCCATCCATCCATCCATCCATCCATCCATTCATTCATTCATTCATTCATTCATTCATTCATTCATTCAGCCATCCATCCATCCATCTATCCATTCATTTATTCATTCATTCATTCATTCATTCATTCATTCATTCATTCATTCATTCATTCATTCATTCCATAAAGAGACTGACAGATACATGACAAACAAGACAAAAGAGCAGACAAATTGCATGTAACTAGTGTGCAAATATGCAATGGTTATTTTTAATGATTGCAGGTATAGTGGAATAAACAAATATATATATGTAACAATTGGCTAATTAGGATGCTAAATATGAGGAAGATATCCCAAATAGTCATTTACAAATATGTATATATAAAACTGAATTATATACTGAATTATATACATATGCATATTTATACATAATATGGGCATTTCCATGAAACTAAGAGCTAAATCATTCATTTTATCAGGTAATTGGGGCAAGTAAAATGCCCGGCATAGGGTTCATTTATCATAAGCATGTGACATATGCTAAAAAATATTTAACAGCATTGAAAGTGGAAGATAAGTAAGTGTATGTGTGTGATTTAGATTTTTTTATTTAGCTTTAACAATTTTTCAGTCATATGCTATGATATCTGCAGTGTGACAGTTTATAGTGATGTCTAGAACTGGGGCATCATGCTGTAGACATGTGGCATGATGTCCCACCCAGTCACATTATCCTGACACTAGGCTTACCAGTCCTAACACTAACCTTTTAATGCTGAGTGCCAAGCAAGGCAGCTGTTAGTACCATTTTTTAAAGTCTTTGGTATGACTCGGTCGGGTTGAAAACCTATGACCTCCCACATTTGAGGCGGATGCTCTAACCACTAGGCCACCGAAGTGGTCCAAGATGAATGTTACAGATAAGGGAAAATATCTTCTAGATATCAGAACAATGAAATGGAATGAACTTTTGTATATATATGCAGAACTGGGTCTGTGTTTTTTGCAGTTGGACCCATCCTATAATCAAGTATATATGGTGATCTGTAATAGCTGAAGTTTAATTGAGTTACCTCCAGGGTCAGCCTCACTAACAAGCTGGATATGTGTATGGCTGTACAAACAGACATACAGATGAACAGATGGACATACAAACAGATGGACATACAGATGAACACATTCAAATCAAGATGCTTCTTCCACAACAAATAACAAACTGAACAGCATATGCTCATCAATTCAATTACTCCAATTGTTTTCAAAATTTTCATGAAATCTTGTCATTTCACTAACAGAAATAGAGTCTGGACTAACTTAAGTTTTGAATAAAGCAGTCCCATTGAACAATAATTAAACCTGACTTGAAATTGCTCAGTCCAATCTTCAGAGTCTGGGCACCTAGGAAAGCAATACATCATAGGCCTGTCAGCTCAACTACTTAGAAAGATTCCTCCTTGATAAAATCCAGACACCTGCATAATATACTGGGGGAAAATTTCCCATATATTCTTACAGTAAAAGTGATGGAATCTGGAATCAGCTGATGATTTATAAAACTTTTTGTTTCTAAAGATCTCTTTTCCTGGAGTAATACTGTAAGAAACAAATTTTAATGTCTATAGCAGATATTATATGAGGTATGGATTGTAAAGGTTAAGGGGAAAAATAAAAATTAGTATACATCAGAGATGTTATGAAGATTTGTCAGTTTTGATGATGGGAACTCTTTGATGTTGAATTCTTGGCAATCAAGGCAACACAAGTTAGACATTCAATTTCTTGATGTTCCGATTACACAAAAAGGTTGTTTCTCTAATGTTTGGAAAAAACAAGATTGGCAGAGGAACAAAATTAGCAAAAATATGCAACAGCACACACAAGAGGTCATACTGTCCCAACCTTATTTTTTTCTGGCATTTAAAATTCACCATTTTGATTTATAGTAAAAGTCATATATGTGCATTTACACATCTTAAATATAAACTGTTGATTTAAAATTTAGTACTAATTATTAGCCCAAGTCTATTCAATTCTGATTATTGAATGTTCTGCATCCTATCTGACAGCAAGAAACTTAGACAAGAACTATTGATCCTATGGAGTTTCAGATTGGTAGCCAGGTTCTAAAGTTGGTCAAGAACAGAGCATGTCAAGTCTATATGTCACAATATAGGGTAGTACAAAAATAGCTTTCATTTGACATCACAGTGTGTGACATTCAATCTGGATTGTGCTGTATCACACCTTAAGGTTGTTCTCATCCAAAAAATGTCCATGTCCTTTAATGTTGATTTTGCTGCATGTACTTCTCTGTATGTATAAATATTGACCTTCCAAAAAAAAATATGGATGTACAGAGGAATCAAATAAAGTCAATAATTGCTGTTAAAAGGTATGCATAATCAAATTCTTAAAAATTACATCTATTATTGAAATATTTGGTGCTGAATACACACATGACCCGTATGACTTTTACAGTAACTTTTTTGACATTTGCCAAAATGTGATAAAATCTATGAATATAGCTAGGGTTTTATTGAATTACCTTTCTGTAAAGTTACATGGCACAGCCACTGAACAGTAAATAAATGCATGATACCACCATAATTAAGCTCAGATGGTGGAGAATCAGACTTGTAATCCAAAGGTTGCAGGTTTAATACCCAGTCAGGCCAGCACAGACTGGCTGCCTTGACTTGTCCTTAGCTCTGACTCCTTTTGAATATTACATAGCCAATAATGTGTTAGAAATGTCTTTAAAACCAGCAAATTTTTTGAGCAATTTATGACACTTCCCCTATGGCATTTTTATGTTTGCACGTTAACTTTAATTTGGCAAGAACTTTTGATGACCTTCTCACATGCAAAAGCTTTTTGGCTCCATTAGACATAAATTTACCTGTATGGTAATTAGAAGTTTGGTCCTATGTTAAGCCTACCAGCAATAGCCAAAATTAACAATGCAGACAGAGTTACTTTTGGGTAGACAGACCTAATAAGCTTATGCTTTCTACCAATTCTGCCAAATTATATGACTGAATCGGTAACTGCATTTCACAATGTTTCTAAAATAAATATGGTTTAAACCTAGACTAATAATGCACACAGACAAAATCAGCAAATAAATTATTAATTCAGACATTTACAGAAAGCAATTTTTCTGCTCTGTATATTTTTGTTTTCTTTTCCTTTTAAAGATTAAGCGAATCTATTTTACCCACCTTTTTTAATCAATAAGTTATATATCAATATCACATCATCTGAAAAGGGTCTAATCATGGGTTATAGGTTGTGAGGTCTCTAGCCTCAAGTTGAAGCCTCAATGTTGTTACGTCTCTAAGAAACAAGATATCTAAGCTTCATAATTGTTTTTTTTAAAACAACTTCAGTGGCTTAGTGGTTAGATAATCTGCCTTAGATGTAGGAGGTTGTGGGTTCAAACCCCGGATGATTCATACCAAAGACTTATAATAAAAAATGCTACTAACAGCTGCCTCGATTGGTAATCAGCATTAAGAGGTTAGTGTAAGGACTGGTCAGCCTGGTGTCAGAATAATGTGACTGGGTGGGACATCATGCTACATGTCTGCGACATGATGGCTTAGTGCTTGACATCACTATTAACTGCCACACTGCAGATATCATAGTGATATGAATTAAAAGTTTTTAAAGCTATGATAAAAATACAAATCACATCACATCAGTTTTTTTTAAATTTTTTTTTTACAGAGGTTAATCTTTGTTTGAAGGACTAACAATCTACAGTTATGTACTAACTACTAATGTAGTACAGAAAGTGACACACACTCAACCTTCAGAACCAATGTCAAGAATACAATTCTTTTATTACAAGATGGGTGTCTGCTCTTAAAATGTCTTTATCTTAATTCCTTTCTTTCCACTAAATCTTTTGCCTATCTTCCGAAAACATTATCAACCTATGAATAATTGATTCTTCAAACTGTGCTTCATTCCCAAGGCTAAATAAACATGCCAAACAACTTGCCAGCTGAAACTGCTATCATGGCCTTGACAGTTTATAAATTTCTAGTCTGTCTTGTCACCCACCTTTGTCACAAAAGTTGGGGGTCTGTCCATCCATCCATTAATTTGTTCATTTGTCAATCTATTCATCAACCTTTCTTGTCTACTCCATAATTTTGATTCCTTTTGAGAAGATTTATGTAGGATGTACTAACCTTTTTCCTTCAGATTTATATGAGAAGTTTTATCTGATAAGGAAATTATGCTTGATAATTATACTACCAGGAAATAAGTGGAGTACCATCATCTGAGCAATATTTTCAAGGTAAAAGTCAAAGGTCTTTATGGTAAAGGTCATAGGTCATCAAGCTCAAGGTCAAACATCTACAATTAGAGTAATAGCTTATAACAGAAAATAATGTTGAAACAAAAAAGTAAACTGAGCTATATGTAAATGTGACAATAACGTCTGTATACTTGATAAAAAGGCCATGCATTTTCTTGCCTTTGTTGTTGTTGTTGTTGTAGTAGGGTTTAATGCCATCTTTTAGCACACGATAGTCTATAAATGGTGGCCAGTGTTAATGGTGGAGCAAGAAACTGGAAATCCACAGAAAGAACCACCAACCCACGAGAAGCTACTGGCAAGCTTTCTCACCTATCCCAATTCACTCAAGTTTAGACTAAATCTCACAAAGACATAGGTGAGATGGCATTGATCCATAACAGATAGTGCTTTAGACCACTCGGCCATTCCTAACCCCTCTTGTCTTTGTAAGAAACTACATGTGTAAATGGTTATCAGCTTTACTCAGTGTTAACCTTTGATGGACTGGCATCTATGTAATAAATGAGTATTCTATCCATGTTAAATCAAGGAAATATAAATAATATTTTTTTAAAAAATACTAGCTTAACACAATTTTTATCTCCTCCTTAAAAAGATGAATAGAGAGTTAAACCTTCCTTAACCAACAACATCAGTGTAGGGAGAAATATGACCTCTAAGACAAATTGTTGCTTAATGGCGGAGTAACAGACTCGAAATATGGGGGCTGTGGGTTTGAACTCCACCAATGCATAAATGCATATCAGGCCAGTTCAGCTGATATATAGTGTTTCTGGGCATGGCCCTTTACTCCCATTGTCTTGATACTAAATTATTTTTCATATACTGATGTGGCATACAGCACTGTTACAATCACAGCCCAAATCCAAAATCGGAAAGAGGTTCCTAGTTCTGACTGACACTGATTGACATCAGCTGGTCTTTCATTAAATTTCCACCTCAAAGCAGAAAAACTAGTCAGCTCAAATTTGTTATAATGCTATTATTTTAATGTGATTATGGTCCTAACATATACCACAATGAACCCCATGACCAAATCTAAACCAATGTACTTGAATTGGTCTCTGACAGTATAGGCTGAAAGAATGCAACACAATGTTTGTAATTGTATCTTTATTCCTCATTCAAAACAATATTTTTTTTACAAATGTATGCAAATTAAATTCAACAAAACACTTTAAAGTAAAAAAAATACCTTTAGAGAAACTAAAATCATAAGTACATGTATATGCTTAAATGGCTTCTTGTTTATCCTCCAATCTCCAACACATGTACATTCAATCATCTAATTTGTTACCAGTCTCTTTATTCCATGGTTAGACAAATAACACGGTCAGTAATTAAGGACCACAATTACCACAATAATACTAAAAGCTTGTCTGGCATTTCATTCCCCCCTCCCCCATCACCCCTGTTTCCCCAACATACATGAATATTATTGAAGTTTCAATCAATCTCCTTCTACCTAGGTTTGGTATATGACAAGGTTGGAAGCTAGGGATCCTAACTACTGGATTATAATTAGGGGCAGCAGTATTTGGAAATTCAATTGAAAGCCATCCTAATTAGTAAGAAAAATTTCTTATTTGATTAAGGAAATCTAGTAAAGCCAATAAGACAGAAATTTAGTCTAGATGTACTAAGCATGCAAAAAATGTTAAACCAACAGAAACTATGACAACAGAAGGATTTTTGAGCATTCAAACAACATCTGTAAAAAATGTTTAAGTTTACATTTCAAAGCTGTCATTGGTCTCAAAAAAATATGCAGGGCACATTACTCTTGTGCATAAATCCAAAAAAGTGCAGTAAACATGAAACACTTATTAAATTTCTACTGTATCTAATTGTTCTAGACACCTTGCCTCTAGACACCTTGCCTACCAAGAGCTGGAGATTTTTGTCGAATGCCATGAGCTACATGACTTTCTGCAATACAATTTCCTCATTTTTCATTAAAATACAAAAACTTGCATACACAGTCAATGGATATAAAAATGTTCATGGAAGATCAAACCTTACATGACCTTTTTGTACCAAAAGAGTTAGCCAATAAAATGTTCTCTTACCAATATTATCAATGACGGATCAATACAAGATTATTTCTTTTGATGGATATGAGCTTTTTCATTGGCTTGACAATTTTTTTAATTTTTGTATAAGTCTTTTGTATGACTGTTGGTGTTCAAACCCATGACCTCCCACAGCTGAAGCAGGTGCTCTAACCACTTAGGCCACTGGAGTGATCAAATTGAACAATGAATACCCCATCAGTATCAAGTGAATACTTATTAAGACTCTGAAGATCTGAACACAAACTATAAAATTAATGTAAAGCTAGTAGATCCCTACAACTGTACATCCATACCATCTTGAACAGTCAAGTCTCCTTGCATAGCCACACTTTCTTGTACTGTCTAGTTTGCACGCATAGCAGCATGACCTTGCACAGTCTGGTCTCCTTATCTAACCACTTTCTTGTAGTCAGGTCTTCCTGCATATTCACTCTTAATAACTTTATAGTCTAGTCTCCCTGTATTTCCTAACAATCATGCTGAGTTTAGTCTCCCTGTATCCACATACAATCTTGTCTCCCTCAATTTCCACACAATCTTGTTAAGTATAGTTTTCCTCAAGTTCCACCCAATCTTGCAAAGTCTAGTTTTCCTATATATTAACACTATTTTGTGTAGTCTCCTGTATGCTCCACAGTTGTGCAGACTGGTTTCTTTTTATATTCCTGCAATCTTGAGCAGTAGTGTCTCTTTAATACAGTTTACCTTTATCTGAGAATTCTTTCATAGAACCCTTGAATTTAGAAAATATTTTTAACAATTATTGATAAACTGAATCAGTTTATTGGAAAATTATTTTTTTAACATAGTTATTGAGGGTTATTTTATTTTAACAAAGTTATTAAATAAAATAAACAGTTCATGATAGTCTTCCACACCCACAGATCTTTCATAACCAACATCTATGCTTTCTTTACATTTTAAGAAAATATCACTTAATTTAGTTCATGATGGGAATGCCCTGAATGACTCATCATTATGTAAATTTATTTTTGGTAACTGAAAAATATATAAAAGCTTACATTTTAACTTGCTAAAGTGTGCTTTTAATTGGAATTTTATAAAAATATTACTCATGCCATTATACAAATCTGAGAAAATGTACTTTTTGTGCTACATGTGTTTAATTCATCCTATCTTAACAAAATGCCTTCAGTGATTGAATTTTCTGCAAATATCTTGCAAATTAGCACATATTTAAACTGCCATCTATAAGCAGGCTGCCACAAAGGTTGTTATTTGTGTCATGTCTCCACCATAAAAAGTCAACTGTATTTTTAGTGTGAGATGTCAATTAATAATAATGCTTTAGCAGACTAAGAGAATAAATCAATTCATTCAATTTGTAATTCAATTTCCATATATAAAATACCATTTAACTAAGGTCCAATGGCAAACAACACAGACCCTGATCGGACCATTGCATAATGTGCCAACAGAACTGGGTCTACTGGTACATATATGTTGCTTGTTCTACTCATTACCTAAAAAAACTGCAAAATACTGTTTTTGGTTTTAAATAAGCTGATAAACATCATGCCATTTTTTAAGTTCAGCTTATCTAAATGTGACTATCAAATCATAGAACATAACAGAAGCAGTGGAGTGGAAAATAATCAGTTTAATTGCAAAATTCAACCACTTTGCAGTTCTACTAAATTTAAACAAGAGTCCCTAAAAGGGACTGATGCTCTACTGGCTGAAAATAATTTCCAGGAATTGAAGTTATAATTATTTCTTCATTTGAATTGCTGAGTGCTGAAATCATCTCTGCTAATTTTCATTGATGTGATTTCAAATTAGTCACTGTGGCAGCCCTATTGGATGTTGTTGTTGTAATAGAGTTTAATGCCATTTTTCAGCACATGATAGGCTATTCATGGTGGCAAGTATAACTGGTAGAGGAACAACCCTGGAAAACCCCAGGAAGATCCACCAATCCACAAGAAGCTATTGGCAAGCTTTCTCAAATATCCACATTAGCTTTGCCTCAGATTCAAAACCACACAGACAAAGGCAAGATGGCAGTGATCCTGAACAGTAAGTG